CCAACCTGGAGGGAGCTTGCTGCTCTTCCTGCTCGGGAGGTGGGGCACCAGGGCTCACCGTGCGTGCCGCTGCCCCGGGGCCTGGGGGTTCAGGCGCTGCCCCGGGGCCTGGGGGTTCAGGCGCTGCCCCGGGGCCTGGGGGTTCAGGCCGCTGCCCCGGGGCCTGGGGGTTCAGGCGCTGCCCCGGGGCCTGGGGGTTCAGGCGGCAGTGCAGTGCAGCCAGGCCTTACACGTCTTCTCAGTCGGTGGCCGGACAGTGGAAAGACAGCCCTGGGTTAGACCAGCCCCACCCTTGGGCTCCCTTTTTTTCCCCTTGGTTTATTTTTCTCTCTTCCTAATTTGTTAATTCATTGTCATGGAAAAGTCAATTACACCGACCACATTGGAGCTGAGCAGTGGCTGAAACCTTGAGCACCTCTGCATGTCCGCGATTGTTCCCACGCAGGTGTTACCCATCCTCCCAACAGCCCTGGGAGACCTGGAGTTACACAGTGACCCGCGCCTCCACCCTTCCTCCTCCTGAGCCCTGACTCCCACCACACACCTCATAGCTACAGCAATGCTGTCTTCAGGAGGACGCCACAGATCCATCTGCCCACCCTCTCCACTCTCTCTGTCTCTCTCTGTCTCTCTCTCTGTCTCTCTCTCTGTCTCTCTGTCTCTGTCTCTCTCTGTCTCTGTCTCTCTCTGTCTCTCTCTGTCTCTCTCTCTGTCTCTCTCTCTCTCTGTCTCTGTCTCTCTCTGTCTCTGTCTCTCTCTGTCTCTGTCTTTCTCTCTCTCTCTCTCTGTCTCTCTCTCTCTCTCCCTCCACCTTTTCTCTTCCTCTCTCCCTCCCTCCTCCCCTCTCCTTCCTTCCCTCTGTAACATGCAACGTAGGCTCACAGAGCGCATTCCGTAGTTCTTTGCTAAAGCATTCATTTTAACTTGTAAGTAAGGAATCCCTTCAGATCGTATAAGGCACTGGCAGATGTTGTTTGGAGATGAAGCATTTTGATTTACAGATCAGGAGTGTGGGTCTCTAGTTAGGAATTCCATGGCACCAGAGGCACTGGGCCGGGGCTTTCTATACACCGGTTCCATCCATGGCTGCTCAGCTTAATCATGGCAACAAGTAAGAAACTGCTGCACAGTTATTAAGAAACATTGGTTATTCCGCCTGCTCTCTCCCACCAATTAAAAAATCAATTTTCTAGCAAAAGAAACTCTCCAAGGTTAGAATTAAGATCATATTAGAGGTTTTATTGAAATGCAAAGACATACTGAAAGCTGTAAGACATTCTAGGGATACCCAAGGTACCTCATGATGGAAAACGTCTCCTCTCTCTTTTGTGATCTCTTTGTGTTTGGTGTTCTGATGCACAAGTCAAAGAACTAGGCACGTTATTTCCTGAAATTCCAGCAGTATCAAATCTTTCAAACCACCACTTCCTTCCGTGGATTGTTTCCCTCCCACTCAGCAGCAACCGTGGGAATGAACAGCTGTGAGGGAGAAAGAGGCCAGGCTGGGCCTTGCAGGTCAGCACAGGTGAGCCCGGATCTCTGCGGACCCCCAGCCTCTCACACGAGTCTGCGTCCTTGCCCCTGGACATGCTCCCTGAGTCTCCGGAACTTGAAAATAATTGGGGAGATGCCGCCTTTCTGTGTGCTCACCTGAAGGCAGAGGGGTGGCCTTCCCTGGACTCTGTTGCTAAGGAACTGAGCTGCCCTATGAAAAGCACTTGCCAATGATTACTGCTCATTCCAGGAGCGGAGTCTGTATCTTTAAGAACTGCTTAAGAAATGTCACAGCCAATATTGCCGCATTCGCACCATTCCCATTCCGGAGCAAATGTCCCTGTGACAAAGGCTCAGCTGAGTGGCCCAGCAGAAGCTGCCCCGTAGGACTCAAGGAGCATTATCTCACTCCTTCCCAGAATTTTCAGTATCTTTAATAGTGACAACTTTCCTTCATCAAAATGAAGTCGCCATTTAAAAACTTTGCTGGGAAAGTAGATCACGATTTAAGCATATATTAATTTACTCGCTTCAAAATTGCCAAAGACAGTTGACAAAATAATTAGCCCACTTTCTCTCAGTCATCAGGAATGGCACTTTGGACCGTGGATATTGATGCTCTTAGAAATGACCTTCTGCGACATGGATTGTTTCTTTATGTCTTAGTTCGTGTCTGTAGAGAGGTGCCGAAAAGAGAAGACATGGCTATTTCTGTTACTCCTGTGCTGTGCTCTGCAGCATGAGGCCTTAGCCATGTTGTATCTGGTAACCCTACCGCCGAGTTAGACAGGGATGGGTGGGCCAGCTCCGGGGCCAAAGGCAGCAAGCCTCCACCCATGCTAGGCCCCAGAATTGCAGTTCTAAGGGTGAGTAAAGCTGTGGACATTAAAGTCAGCCAGTGTTGCTTTGAGATCAGTCCCACCCTGCCCCAATTCCGTGAGACCTCGTCCGGATCTCAGATCATGCGTCTTGTGTTCCTCTCTGCCTCCATCAGAGGTGTGTGGAGGAGGAGCACCCAGCGCTCTGACGTGCTCTACGTAGGACCTGTGTTTCCTGGCTGTTTCTCAGCCTCGATGTTAGACGCGCTCTGACTGCCCAACGACTATGGTTTAATTAGTCACGAGTATTTGTGACTTGTAAAACACAATAGCAAAATACACACGTAAGTTATTATCTTCATTTTCTCATTGAAATGGTTTCCCCCTTGTTTTGAGACACTCGCGTTGTCACTTGGGCAGGACGGAAGCTCCTCCTTTTCTCTGCGTGGCTCAGCTTCCAGAGTGCCAGCATTACATGCGGGTGGCACCAGGCTTGGCCTCCACCTTGATTTTTAAGAGTTCAATGCAGGATTATACAACCAGCACCATCATCCACCCACAGAACCCTTTCCATCTTGCAGCTATGTACCATAAAGCAATGACTTTGCGTGCACATGCACACACAAACACGCACACACGCACACACACGTATGCAGGCACACACACCTAGCAGCCATTCTGGTAGCCATTCACCCTTCCGTCTCTGAGGGTGTGAATACCAACCACAGGGACTCCACACTTGTTTGCTAGAGGCTTGTCACAGTTCTGCCACGTGGCTGAGCTGCACAGCTACCAGACAGCCCAGAGTTCAGGTCAGTCGTGGTAAGAGATACGAAACAGTGACTGTTGAAATACTACATTGGAGAGTTTGCATTTGGAACAGGTGTTTGATATCATCAAGACAGTCTGTTGAAGTGTGTGAAAACCTCATCTTTAGAAGATCCTTCTGGAATCTTCTGTTGACCACAACTTCTGTCCATCCACACCAGCCTGAAATAATCTAATTTCCCACTCAAAATACTATCCATTCACGATCTCCATCTTATAACGTTCCAGGAGATGTGGCAAAGGAGCAAGGCGACTGAGTAGCTCCCAGGATGCAGTGGAGTAGAGCAAGTGGACCTCTATAAAGAGGAGCACAGAGACACTGAGCATTCTAAAATGTGGCCTGTTAATCCAGCCTTCCATCGGAGGTCCTGTGGCCTGTTATGGAGCCTTCTGTCAGGAGGTCCTGTGACCTGTTATCCCGCCTTCTGTCAGGAGGTGGTGTGGTCTGTTATCCAGCCTTCTGTCAGGAGGTGGTGTGG